AAATTAAAATAAAATATAAAATATAAAATAAATTATTACGAAGCTTATGTACATGTATGCAAATGCATATGTAACCACAAGACTTATTTACATAAGTAAATAAACTTATTACATAAGATTTATTTACATATACATGTATTATTATTGAGAATATACAGTACATGTACATGTATATATGTAGATCTCACTTGGTGTTGTTTCCAGCACCTAATGGCTCCATCATAGCAGCCAGTGACTATGAAACCAGACCAGTCTTTAGAGGGAGGACCGATCCACTCACAGCAGTAGACATAAGAGGGATGAGGGAGTAGTGTCTCAACATTACCAGCCTCAGTGAATGACCATACACTGGAGGAGAGAGAGAGAGAGAAATTAAGATAAAAAAGATTAAATTAAATACTTTTATGCATGATTGCATGTACAAATATATGTACATACATGTATACATGTACATCTACCATGATAAAATAAGGATAAAAATTAGAAGTAGAAATTACAAATTGTGTGCATGTACATATACCATGACAAATAAGAGGTTGACATTATAATAAAGTGCATGTACATACTGGCAGAGTCCACTAGCAGAGGCACAGGCTAGTTGATTATCATCAATAGACCATGAGAGCTTGTAAATGATATTAGTGTCACTGGGTAGGGTACACAATAGCACCCACTTCATGACCTATGGGGAGATGAATTAACATGTAAATGCAGCAAATAAAAATACATGTACATGTATATAGAGATACTCACCTGGTATATTTTAATCATAGATTGACCATTATCTTCAATGCCAGCAGCCAAAAACCTAATGAAAATATTAATAAAAGTTAAGTTACATATACATGTACATGAATCATGCATGTACATTTATAATAGTGCTTTTAAGTGTATTCCTAACCTTCCAGAATGAGAGAATGATAAAGCAGAGCAGCCATTACTGCCAGTTAGTAGATACTGGTCCAGTTTACTGGGTACAGCACAGGGCTGGCCTGGTAGCCTAGTCCACTGTGGATCAGCATTGAGTCCATCATCAAGACTGTTGATACTCTCATGGAGGACACCTTTCAATCTACTGGACCTGGAGAGAGAGAGGAGGAGAGATGATGATGAGTGTTGCTGCTACAGTGAGATATTTTGCCTTTCTTACAATATTAACATATTCTGTACAACAAACACTATCAATTTTAATTGCTACACATGTACATGTACATGTCCTTATGGGTCACTGGCCAATTGATTGAGCCAATAACGAACAGTACATGTACATGTACACATTTATACTATAAAATATACATGTATACATGTAATCACATATATGTACAATGTACATGTACATGTACATGTACATGTACATGTACATGTATTTATGATGTAGCCTATACTACTATACCTTAGTTTAGTGAGACCTTCAGAGCTTGATTCCTATTATAATCAGTAAAGTATTATTAATATTAATTTATAATCATTCCTTTATTCTCCTCTTACTGGTACTAGTGGTGAAGTGGATCTTAACACTCGTCCATCAGGATTGGTTAGTTCAGTGCTGTCCTTTATCACTGCTCTCATACAAAGGACTGTTGGATAATCCTTTGGACTTTTAATACTCAATAACTCATTAATGATCACCTTAATGTCAGTGCTAGGACCTCTCTGTGTATAAAACAATGAAATTTTTTTAATTGGCTCATTTTTAAAAATGGCTGTAACTCGAAAAATTTTATTCGGAATCAGCTCAAACTTTTTACATAGCATAAGTACATCAATATGTATTAGAAAATGTAATAAAAATTTGGGGTGATTTCGGAGCCATTTTTCAGAAAAAACCATGGGCTATAGCCTTGNGTATATTTCAAAAATTGGCTCATTTTTAAAATGGCCGTAACTTTAAAAATTGAAGTCGGAATGAGCTCAAACTTTCTACATCGCATAAGTACATCAATATGTATTAGAAAATGTAATAAAAATTTG